TCATTGGCGCGCCCTTGGGCCGCGGCGGGGAGGGGGGGGGGGGGGGCTGGTAAATAGGGCAGCCTTGGCATTGCGCTCAACTGGACGAAAGTAACGCAGGCTCCGGTCCGCACGAGAAAAGAGCCGCTTGACGTCAGGCCCACAATTCCTCTTTGCGCCACTTGACCAATCGCAGCGTTCACGGCAAGCGAAAACGCCAGCGGGCGACTTGCCATTCGCGACAAAACAACCACTGCCTTGTTTTTTGTTTTACCCGATTCATGAACTGAAAACATCATCAAGCCATGAATCCATTGTTCTTGAAATGTTGACATCAGCATGAGTTGCAGCATGACCCGAAACGCTTTGATAGCAGCTACTCTTGTTTGTCTGTGTGCTTGTGAAGGGTTTACATGGGTCGTCGTTTTGTTTGGTGCGGCGTCCTCTGGTGTCAAATATGCTTGGGCCCCAATAAAAGTCGCGTTTTGTTCCAATCTCGAAGGCCGTATCGTACGAAGGCGCATTTTCCGCGCGCCGGCTAACGTCCAAGCTAAGAGCGCGTAGCAGCGCGGCGGCGTTAGCTCGCTAGCTTCCGACCCACCGAGTGATTGACGCCCCACATGAAGACGCTGAGGACGGGGTCGCTGGCCCGAAACACTTTGACCTTCTGCTGGACGAAGTGCTTCTTTTTCGTCTTGGTCTTGGGCGCCAGCACCACCATGGGGCTGCTGCCGCCGCTCGACGACGCGGCCGCCGAGTTCCCCAGCGAAGCCATCGGCTCGACGAGGGAACGCTCGGGCGAAGGGCGAGGAAAGCTCGGCTCGGGTCGTCGACCTCCGCGGACGCTCTCGAAGCGGCTTCAAAACAACTCGCGCTCCATCGGCCGCCGACCGAGTCGAAGCCTTTTCCGTCGTCTGTCGACTTTTCCTTTCGGTGGCGGAAATGGCGGAACGCGTCGCTCCGCCGTCGAGAGGGCAGGGCGCCCCCTGCCGCTCGGGAGTGTGCGAAGGGACTCGCGTCCGGACGACGACCTCGCGCGCCGATTCCCCACCGCGGAGGCGCGCGTGAAAGCTCGCCGTTGGAACTTCACCCCATTTGGCTGAAGAATCTCCACTCGACCCAGCTGCAATTCAAAGACACCGCCGCTGTGCAAAAAGAATTCAGATGACAACAAAGAAGAAAACCGTTGTTGATTCGTTCCAAAGGTGGCTTTCTTCATCCGTAGTACAGTATGTCGATGCATGCCGCGAATGCACTTCCGTTCCGTTCCGTTCCGTTCCGTGGTAAAAGAGGGTAGACCTTGTGCCGTTCCTGCAATGGCATGAGCGTTGTGTCCATTCCTGCCCAAAGCAATTGCATTCAAGAAGCACAATATAGAGCGCACACGCGTGAAAAAAGAAAATCAGTCATTTGTCTCAGGGGGCATGTTTTTCAGGACCAAACAAAGACGTGACATGACTGAGAGATACCGCCGCTCCTTCCTACCGACTGCTGTCAGGCTGCTGAATAAAAATAAATCAATCAATAAAATTCATTAAATGATGTGAAAACAATTGTAAATAGCGCTGCGACCTTATCCATATTTGTATTGATGTTGCACTTCATTAAACAATTTCTTCTTTCTACCCACAATCTTGCTGCTGTCGGCTGTAAATTTCCCCAGTGTGGGACAAATAAAGGAGATCTTATCTTATGACATCAAAGTCTGGAAAGTGGCATCAATCACAGCAGGATGCAGCCGCTGACAGTCGGGCCCCAAACCAATTCTGCAGTAGCCACCTCCTGAAACCCGCACACGCGTTTGGAGCCCTCCTTCGAAATGCAGCCCTTTTCAAAGCCTACTTGCAAACACAACTCTTCTTGACAACACTCCTTGTAGCTTCGAAGCTTCATTTGAAACCGCGAGCCCGGCTTCAAATCCGAAATGGAAAACCTCAAGCCCAGTTGAAAAGCCTCCGGTGCGACCCGAAGCCTTGTTTAAAACCCGGCCGGCCGAAGTACGCAGTCGGGTGCTCTGCAGTGGAGCGCTC